TGTGTGTGTGTGTGTGTGTGTGTTTCCTACCTGTGTGTGTGGTATATGATGGCGAAAGTTCATGCTGTTTTTCTGTTTGATCTGTTGTTGTTGTCTGAGCAGCGTCAGCAGGGCCGCCTTGTTTTGGCTCTGGGTGTTGGGGAGCCGAGGGGGCCCGGGCCCCGCCTCAAAGTGTGACAAGGGTTTGGTGTTGTTGTAGTTCAGCATTGCTGCCTGGGTCTGAGGTCCAGGGGCGGGCGGGTGGCTGAGAGGAGGCCCTGACGTCGGGTGACCCAGCATGTTGGGGTGCCCGCCGTGCCCCGGCATGTAGCCGCCAGGCCCCGCCTTGGGAGAGCCTTTGTTGGGCTGACCGGGCATCAGCAGCTGCTTCTGGGCGTTTGGGTTGAAGTCCTGTGGGTACAAGGAGGGACTCGTGGGTTTGTCCATAACAAACGCTCCCCCTAGTGGGCTCTGAGAGGTGTTGGCCATCTGGGGCCAAGGTGGAGGGTGGGCACGGGGCCCCTGGTTATGGAACTTGGCCCCCGGCTGTTGTTTGTGCATCTGGCCATGGAGGTGCTGCGCTCTCTGCTGCTGGGCTGCCAACTGCTGGAGCTGCTGAGCAGGGGACAGATCTTTAGGCACCTGGGGCCCCGGAGGGAGGAGATGGTTGGGGGGAGGCTGAAGCTGCCTGGGGTTGGGAGCAGGCTGGGAAGGGGGCAGAGCCGGAGAAGAGGCAGAGGAGGAAGCGATGGGGGAGCTGGTGGGGTGAGGAGGCGGCCCAGAGGAGGTGGACCTTACATGGGGGGAGCCGGTGCGAGAGTCCTGCTCAAAAACTGCAGAGGCTGGAGAGAACTCCGACTTCACACTCACCAGATCTGGAGGAAGTAGTCCCTGGGATGGCTGGCCCCCCACACCACCTCCTGCTCCTCCCCCCACCGTCCCACCACCACCCGGAGTTGGTGCCAGCTCTAGAGGGTCTTTGCGGTCCTCAAAGCCGTCGTTGAGAATGTCTTGAATGTCCTCATACGCCACGGCGCAGTTTAGCTCCTCCATCAGCTCCGTCCACTCCTGCTCATTCAGGTTGAGGTCAGGGAACAGGCTGTTGTTACCTCCTCCTGATGGCGGCATGATGGGCAGGATGTCATCTGGCTCCTGCTTCATCTCCTTCCGATGGAAGTCCAAACCTGGCTCGCCACCGCTGTCTGTCGACTCCCCCGTCGGCCCATGGTTCCCGTTAGAGGTCAGAGAGTCACTGATCCCCAGCTTGGAGTCCAGCGGGGAGCCGTTAGTTGTGCCGTTGTCCAGACAGGCCTTCTTGTTGGGGGGGAACCCGTCACTGAAACCGTTGACTTGTTCTCTGCCCAACGGAGAACCAGCGCTCTCCAGCTTCCTCTTTACCGTCTCCTGCAGCTGGAGGAACAAACAGAACCATGGAGAACTTTTAATAATATCACATCATCAGCATAAACAAACGTCCCTCAAAGATTCAGGTTTTCTTCTTTAAAAATGTGATTAATTGCCTGATTGTTAACTTTTCAAATATTAAATCCAGTTGTAGTTGAGCATCTCGACTTAGACTTTCTTATTATGTAATGAGGTTATTTGGGGAACTGACCAAAGTCAGCTGTTGAATTATGACAAATCTTCTATTTTAGGGTCTGCAGAGGTGCTTTATGAGCAGCAGGGGGCGTTGCAGCTGAATAGACAGAGTTATGGAGTGGCAGTTGTTGGGATAAAAAGCTGCAGCCGTTAATAGAATCAGCTGCAGGCCAGCTTACATAACGCAGATAACAAAGAGCTTCCTCAGAGCAGTCAGCAGATCAGATCTGCCCACTCTGCAGGCAGCTCGACCGCCACATCTGAGGGGAACGCTCCGAACTTCCTCCGCTGCCTCAAACAGCGTCAGCTGATCCTCACACGGTTTCACTGAGTCAACACCAGATATCAACACCTGAAATCTCTACTGACAACAGCCAACAGGTAATTACAGTTAAAACCAGGCGTAATTATACAAACACTGAAGTGACGCATAACCCCCCCCCCCCACAAAAACATTTTTATTTTGTCATAATGGGGTTTATGGAAATGTATTTAAATGCAGTTTTATCAAATAAAAACCACAACCTGCAGAGAAAACAAAGTAGAAGTTTTATCTTGTTTCACTTTAATGAGTCACACTGCTTTGTTCTTGAGGAAACCATGTTTTTGGAAATTTCACCCTTAAAATAAACCATTTAATTTTCAAACTTAAAATACTGATGCAAGTTTTTTTCATTCTAAAAATACACTGGAACTAATCTTTAAAAATAATTTTATCTGAAGAAAGCACTCTCTCCCTCATTTTCTAGAAAAACTAAATTCCCTGAACCAACAGACTCTTGAGTGTTAGCGATGAAACAATTATCTTCACTCTGCAGCTACTATGAAAATTATTTCTGCAGCGTTCATTCATGCAACGTGAAAATAAACGGAAGAGCTGAGATTTATTCTTTTCGACACAACAAGATGTGTGTGGACAGATTTTGTTAATCAAGAGAATAATGGATTAAATCAATAAATGAAAACTGAACAAAGGAGATATTTTCTACTTAAGTTAGTTCTTGTGAAAAAAGTTTGTGGAAACACAACTGGAACAAAGTTATAAAATCCAGGTAAGAAAAACAGTAGCAACTGACGTCCTGCTGCTGTGGAGGGTTGTTGGTAAGAGTGAGTCCACTGATCTTTAACACTGATCAGGAATTTTCAATAAACCATGTCTACTCCTCAAGAGAAAAGCTTCAGAATTACAGCGTTAGAGAAAGTTTCAGAGTGGCGTCACAGAGCGGACACAGGTGATGATGTCTTCCAACAAATATGCAGAGAATTTCCTGATTAGCCCAACGGGTGCCAAAATGGCAGCATCAACACATTTGGTCAGACGGGTCTGTCAGTAGCTTCGACGCTCAGAGTCGTTCCTACACTTTCTGTCTTCACAGCAGACTTCAGTCAAACTGTGGATTAGTCAGCAGTGTGTGGGTGTACGGAGAGTTTAACTAAGAGACGGGTGTGACGTCAGGTCGGCCTCATGTTCAGTCAAAGGAAAAATCCTTTCAGTTAGTTTCTGCTGGTTCCTGACAGAGCTCAGGTCTGTGTCTGAGGAGCGCTTCATTTCTAAAATCATTCACATCACTGTTTTAAACCGGGAACCTTAAGAGTTATAGCTCATGAGTCTATGTACTGGATTCTTTGCTCATAGTTCTTCTTTTTCGCATTGCATTGTGGGTCAGCAATGTTCACCAACCCACAGAGGATGAAGCATGCTGCTCATTTCATGCTCCTGTGTAATATGATCTTTAGATTTCAGAGTTCAGTTCAGGAGCCTCTGAGGTTCTGTTTGTCATTCAGGTGAGTCGGACCAGTTTCTTCTGAGGTGAGGGTGAAGTGAACTACAGTCCAGCTCCGTGTGTCAACATCAGATCAGAGCTGCAGAAACAAAACATGTTGTTGTTCGCGCAGCTGGAGACATGAAGTTACCACTAAGTGCAACAACTGAGCTTCGTGTGTGGTTCAACTATTTGTTTAGAGTAATAACTGTCAGGGAGCTGGTGGGGTCCAGTGTGTGAAGGGATTCATCACTCGATCCACGAGTTGAACAAAAGACAATGAATCAGCAAAAACTTCAATCCATAAATCATTGAAGTAAAGGGGCGGGCACTGAAACATCCGGCAGTGAGGGCGACACTGGCGCCGAGGAGACAAATGATGATATGAGAGAGAGACAGTGAGACAGAGACACAGAGACAGACAAAGAGAGCGAGACAGGGGGAGAGAGAGAGATGGAGAGAGTGAGAGGGAGAGAGACATACAGACAGAGAGAGACCGAGAGGGAGACAGAGGGAGAGAGAGAGAGTGAGAGGGAGAGAGACATACAGACAGAGAGAGACCGAGAGGGAGACAGAGGGAGAGAGAGAGAGTGAGAGGGAGAGAGACATACAGACAGAGAGAGACCGAGAGGGAGACAGAGGGAGAGACAGAGAGTGAGAGGGAGAGAGACATACAGACAGAGAGAGACCGAGAGGGAGACAGAGGGAGAGAGAGAGAGTGAGAGGGAGAGAGACATACAGACAGAGAGAGACCGAGAGGGAGACAGAGGGAGAGAGAGAGCTGTGTGTTTGCCCTAAAGGAAACGTGACTCACCCAAAACCTGAAATACCAGTCCCTCCCAGTGGTTGCCATGGTTACAGACCTTGGGATGGGGGGCAGGGGGGGACAACAAAAGATCTACAGCCATCTGTTGGGGGGGGGGGGGGGGGAGCCACAGCTTCAAAGCCTCTGCACCAACTAACATCAGTGGGATTCTGGGTAATTGAGTCTTCAGAGATCTTCACCTGTCAGGTGACACTGGACTTAAGTCAGTGTACCGGATACTGCTATTACTGACAGAACTACTAACTAAACTACTGACAGAACTGCTAACTAAACTACTGACAGAACTGCTAACTAAACTACTGACAGAACTGACAGAACTGCTAACTAAACTACTGACAGAACTGCTAACTAAACTACTGACAGAACTACTAACTAAACTACTGACAGTACTACGAACTAAACTACTGACAGTACTATGAACTTAACTACTGACAGAACTACTAACTAAACTACTGACAGTACTATGAACTAAACTACTGACAGTACTATGAACTAAACTACTGACAGTACTATGAACTAAACTACTGACAGAACTACTAACTAAACTACTGACAGAACTACGAACTAAACTACTGACAGAACTACTAACTAAACTACTGACAGAACTACTAACTAAACTACTGACAGTACTATGAACTAAACTACTGACAGNAACTAAACTACTGACAGTACTATGAACTAAACTACTGACAGAACTACTGACTCATACACTCCTACTGTTAATCTTTATAATAAATAAGTGATGCCGACATGTCAGCCGACTTTTATCGACTCTAACTGTTCCAACTGGTTCTGCTATCAGAGACACCGGAGTCTGCAGGGACGTGGACACATTAGAAATGATTGGTTGGTCCGTCCTGTTAGCTGGGCCACAGTCTCTACACCAAACTGTGAGAATGTCAGGTTCCGTTTCTACAAAGCTCAAAGTAATGATGCTAACACTTCTTCAGATGTGTTCAGACTGAAGTCCTCAGGTCTCTGGATCTTCTCTGGAGGACGAACTCAAATGTCAGAGTGAGACTCAGTTTGTCTCCTTCACTCCTGTATAAAGTCCAGGAGAAGTGAGGACACAGCAGAGCGTCCTCCACTGATCCACTGAGGGAGTGGGGGGGTGATGAGCTTCTAACACGTGACACAAACATGAAGAAACACAAACAACTGTCTCTGGAGACAAAGTGCTGACACACACCTAGAAGACACAGACGAAGACAGTTTGTGGTGACGACGGGGTCAGGTGATGTAAACATGATCACATGATCACTTCCTGTCTGTCTGCTCCACCTCTCACCTGAAGAACGAGGAGGATCTGATGCTGAACGAGTCTGAGCAGAAAACCTGCTGCTGAGTTGTTCAGCTGTGAAACATGAACTCTGGAGACGAGTCTCTGGAGACGAGTCTCTGGAGACGAGTCTCTGGATTCTACCTGGAGCTCATGTCTGACAACAGATAATGTTACGATGTAGATTCTTTTGAATTCCTTCAGGTTTTCCAACTGTTCTTTAAACAAAGGCTCCGTCCAAACTAAAACAATTGTTTAAAAGTAACACAAACATTGTAGTAAATAAATACTCTCCGTTCACACTAACAACACACGTCACGTGACCATTCACACACACTGGTCATGTGGTGTAAACAGGAAGTAGCCTGAAGGAGGAACAGTGATGGTGAAGAGTCAGAGCAGAGATTTCTTTTCTCTGAGCGACGACGAGGTGGAACTGTTCCTGACAGGAAGTGTTAGTGACGCTTTGTGGTCACCGCTGGTAGTCGAGTCATGTGACTGATGAGAACCAATCAGGAAGAGGACGTGGGCGGCATTGTTGACTTAAGTCTCAGTTTCTGTTCAGATTAAAACCAGAGTTTTCACAATAAAACGAGATCAGTTCACACAAGTCTGATTCAGAGGCTGGAGGACTCGGTAGTTTGGGAACTCAGGCATAACCATGGCAACAGTGATGTTTCAAACTCAAACATCAGTGTGGACTGAGCCAAAGAAATAATCCAGCACAACGTTCCAGGAGTAACTTCTGTCAGAGGTTTAATTCTTCCAACATTAGTTGATATGACAATTATCTTTATAACAGACAAACCCAGTGTTTCTTCCTGTTCACTGATTCAAACGAGACAAAACAAAGTGAAGGTGATTCGACTCAGGAGACACCGACAGTCTTACTCTGCATATTTAACATTTCAGTTACTCAGTCAAATCAATGAGCTCGTCTGAA